GTTTGGATGTATACATGTACATGGCGAGAGAAACGAATCTTGCAAGTTTACCAGATGGATGGCGCAGGGAACAACGCTGTCACAGAATCTGGAGGTCCTGCTAGAAATACTTTGAAACCTCCCCCCAGAGGGGAGCAGCAGAAACAGACCCTAAAGTGTGCGGGGGGAGGGGAGTCTAACAATGCTTTGAGCTCTAAGCACATGGCGCTTATAAGCGGCATCCTGAATAATGGGAAGCGAGCTTCCTATAATCTCCTTGGCTGTCCTTACCACTCTCTGTAGGGACTTTCTATCTGAGGCACTATTACCAAACAAAAACATATGAAGAACGGTTGCAAGAACTGGGTATGTCTAGTCTGATGAAAAGAAGGACCAGGGGAGACATGATAGCAGCCTTCCAATATCTCAGGGGCTGCCCCAAAGAAGAGGGAGTCAAGCTGTTCTCCAAAGCCCCTGAGGGCAGGACAAGAAGCAACAGGTGGAAACTCATCAAGGAGAGAAGCAACTTAGAACAAAGGAGAAATTTCCTGACTGTTAGAACAATTAATCAGTGGAACAACTTGCCTCCAGAAGTTGTGGCTGCTCCAACACTGGGAGTTTTAAAAAGACGTTGGACATCCACTTGTCTGAAGTGGTGTAGGGCTTCCTGTCTAGGCAGGGGGTTGGACTAGAAGACCTCCAAGGTCCCTTCCAACCCTGTTATTCTATTCTAATTCTAATTCTTTTCTACCACCAAACCAAACAGTGATGTAGTTTGTTAAAATGCTCTCAATCGTGCCTGTGTAAAAAGTGACCAGGACGGAAGGAGAAATATGTGCCCTCCTCATCCGACGCAGGAAATGCAGGTGCCGGTTTGCAAACGCTTCGCTAAGGGTATTGTGTGGAGAGGCGAATTCCGATGGTTAGTTATCCGCACCCCCAAATTCTATTTATCCTATTCTATTTATCCTTCTTATTATCTTCTTTTATTGGCGTTATTGTGATGATGATTATCATTATTCTGTTGCTCTGCATGTACGCTTGGAGCCCCTGCACTGGAGACCAATTCCTTGTCTGTCTAATCGCACTTGGCCAAATCAAGCCCTCAGTGCAATGCAATTCAATCCAATCTGACACTGAAGGGGCGCAAAAGAAGGGAACCCCCTTTCTGGACACATCTGGTGCTCCCTGGTTGCTGGGAAGCTGGACTGCGTTGACTTTGAATCGAGGCTGGTCGTTCAAGGACCTGCTTATCCTAGTATAGGGGCACCCAAGTCAGAATAATCGAGCTGGAAGGGACCTTGGAGGTCTTCTAGTCTAACCCTTGCTGAAGCAGGACACCCTGTTTTCGGGACAAGTGGCTGTCCAATCTCTTCTTAAAAACTTCTAGTGATGGAGCACCCACAACATCTGGTGGCAGGCAGTTCCACTGGTTCATTGTCCTCCCTGTCAGGAAGTTTCTCCTTAATTCCAGGTTGCTTCTCTCCTGGGTTAGTTTCCATCCGTTGCTTCTTCTCTTGCCTTCTGATGCTTTGGAAAATATGTTGACCAGGGGTGGGATGCAAATATTTTTACTACCGGCTTTGTGGGTGTGGCTAGGTGGGCGTGGCCATGTGACTGGGTGGGCGTGGCTTCTTCTTCTTCTGTTTTTTAGCACCCCCCCCTTTTTTTCTGCCTCCTGGGCAAAGCAGTAAGACAGCCAGGGGGATCCTGGCACAGCTGATGTCGGAACAGCTGATCATCGGGAGGAAAAAAAAAAAGAAATACTGGATTTTTTACTACCGGTTCGCCTGAACCAGCCTGAACCAGCAGAATACCACCACTGAAGTTGACCCCTTCCTCCTCCTCTCTGGGGCAGCCCCTCCCTCAAGTATTGGAAGGCTGCTCTCCTGCCTCCCCTGGTCCTTCTCTTCCCTAGACTAGCCAGGCCCGGTTCCTGCAACCGTTCATCGTAGGTTTTAGCTCCTCCAGTCCCTCATCATCTTCTCAGCGCTTTTTTCTCCAGTCTCAACATCTTTTTTATATACGGTGGGCACAAAACAAGATCAGCAGGATGGGGTCTCTTAATGACACCCCCCCGCCACCCCCAATTTCAGAGAGAGAGCAATGAAGGCAGAGAAAAAGGCCTCCCTCTGGGCTGAAAAGCTGCTACAAGTTCCAAGGCTTGCAATCCGGCTAACATCTTGGGCAGGGCGGGGTGGCAGGCAGGCCCCCTCCTCTTGCAGGACAGCCGCCTAGGGCTGAAAGTCCCCTTGAAGAGTTTAGCCCCCCAAAAGAAGGAAGGGTTCTTTAAAACAGTTTTGGGCGACCGAGATCATCAACCGCATTTCCCATCTCTGTTCGTGAAGCAACGAAGGCAATTAAGAGGCTGTGCGAAATGAAGGGGAGAGGCGGAGTAAGACGGCCTGGAGGCGAGGAATGATCCCAGCCTCTGCTGAACGTGATTCCATGAATCACGGTTTGGGGAAGAAATCTCAGCGGGCTGGTTCGCGTTTGTGATCAACGTGGTTAAGCACATCTGGGCTGAATTGAGGGCGCCTGGTGAGGCCGCCTCCCTCTCTGCCGCCGCCTCCATACGGGGGAGCTGAGGATGAGCAGAGACACCACCGCAGCCCCCCGGGGGCTTCTAGCCAGCACCCCCCACCCCATCTTGCAACGGAGGAAAGCGGGGGGGGGGGCGCCTCTCTTTCCTTGTTACTCCATCGCCCTGCTCTGCTCCTCTTGGCTCATAGAATCATAGAGTCCTAGGGCTGGAAGGGAGCTTGGAGGTCTTCTAACACAACCGCCCCCCCTCTCTCAAGGCAAGCATCCTTAGAGACCCCCCCCGGAAGATTCTCCTGGATCCCCTCTTCATTCCATGCTTTCCCCCTGACTCCCCCCGTTCCCCCCCCCCCAATTCCTGGGCTCTGGGATTTTTCTTTCTTGCTCAATTGTCCTGCCTGGCGGTCCTGGTGAGACCTCCAAGCTTCGCCTCCCAGCTGATGCTCCCCACGTCCTCTGGCCGGAGGCCAGGATTAAATAGTGGGATTTGAGCACGGATGAGGTTCCTTAGCTGGGTCATGAAACGTTTCTAAGAAAACCACCAAGCTCAGAGGCCACCAAACCCCTCTCCCTTCCAGCACTGATGATGTTCCCTAGTTGGGTCATGAAAGGTCTGCAAAAACCCCACCAAGCTCAGAGGCCACCAAAGACCCCCCACTGTCCTCCTGCAAACCCCTCTCCCTTCCAGCACTGATGATGTTCCCTAGTTGGGTCATGAAACGTCTGCAAGGAAACCACCCAGCTCCGAGAGCCCCAGGGACCCCTCAGTTCAACCCTGAGCTACAAAAAAATGTCCTTCATTGGTACTTGAGCAACCGGATTTCGTGAATCTGAAACCTGAACCCGGGAAACGTGCACAACACGGACGCCTGCAGGTTCTCCCCCCCCCCATCTCTGCCTCTCTCGCACGCAGGAACCTAAACAACAATGGAAGCGTCCAATTCCCCCGTTTCCCCAAAGCCCCCGAAAGACCAAATGCGGCCCTTCCTCTTCCAAAGGCCCCTCCTCCTGAGCTGACCCCCCCTCTAGGTAAAGAGCAGAAATGCACCTCTAATGCCATCCAGGTGTGTGGGGGGGAGGTTCTTAGCCCCCCCCTCCCCCGGTTTCTGATTTGCTCGCTGAATTCAGACATGATAGAGGGAGGGTCTTCCTCCTTCCTAAAACCAGGGTCCCCAAACTTGGCAACTTTAAGACTTGTGGACTTCAACTCCCAGAATTCTCCAGCCAGCATAGCTTGTCTCTTCCCTTCTCCCTCCCTTCCTTTCCCACTCTTCCTATTCCCTCCTATAAACTCATGAGAAAGCAAGAACGGCCGGAGAGCCCCGGTGGCTGGGCCGTCTCTGGCTTAGCGGGGTCCAGGACGGGCCCTCCGGAGTCTCTGTGGGGTGAGAGCCCCTCGCACGCTCAGCGGGGCCTCCCCGTGACTGCAACCTCCAAGTCAGCAGTTTAAAGGGCTGATCCCAACGGAGGCCAACTTGCACGGTTCAGAGGCTGGGGCTTGTGAGCTGGAAAGCCGACGGCCCGGTTTGAGACCCAAGCATCGCACGATGGGGTGAGCGCCCGTCCTCGCCTGGCTCCTGCCCACCTGGCAGTTTGGAAGCACGCGAGGCGAGTAGATAAACAGGCAGCCCTTCGGGGGGAGGACACGGCACTCTGCCACGTCACAGCAATAGCACTTGGGCTCCACGGCCTTAAAACAGAGACAAGGGCTGCCCCCCCACCCCCCCCCCCACCCCCCCCCCCCCCGCGGCCACCCACACCCCCCCCCCTCCCCCCCCCAGGCCCCCCCCCCCGAGCCTCCGAGCGACTCGGGGCCACACGCAACGTATCAAAGCAAAACGAAGCAACAGTGCCAGTTGGGGAAACCGCCACACCATGGCTTTACTCTCCAGGCCCCCATCCGTGCTAGGGCATCGGGACCCCCCCGACCTGCCTCGGGACCTGCTTGAGGAGCCTTCCTCCTGCAGGAGAGCCGGTCCAGGGCCCCGGGGCCTTCGGGAGAGCCCCGAAAACCCCCCCCCGTGGCGGCCCCTCTCCCGGCCCCCCCCCCCCCTCTGGGTCCCAATCTTCCCTCCTGAAAGTGCAGGGAGCACCCCTTGGCCTGCCTTTCCTCTCCCACAGAACCTTGTGAGAAGTTGAGGGTCTCCCTTGAAATCAGCCCCCCCCGAGAACCTCCAGATGCTGCCCATGGCTTCTCCACCCAGGGGCCCCCCGGTGACTCTGCCGTCACGACCGGGGCGAGTTGTGGCTTTGCTTGGGCAGCTTTTCAATCTTGCTCAGGGCATTTCTGGCCATTAGCTTGGCTTTAGACGCAACCACCCTGCCAAAGCTTCTCATGAAGAAGGCACAAGACCACGTTCACACACACACACACACACACACACACACTCGAGAGGGTCTGCAAGGCTCCCGATAATTTGGGGCAGGCAACCCCCCCCGCCCCCCACCAGCGGACCCGAGGCAGCGGGGGCTGAGCTCACCTGTGCGAAGTGAAGGTGTCATAGGAGCCCACGGTGTAATGTCGGAAGAGCCTCTTGGTCCGGTCTTCTCTCGTCTCTGTGGGGAAAGAGCAGCAGCCTTCTTCAGGAACCCAGCCGGAGGGGGGGGGGGCCCTTCCACCCCCCCCTCCACGTGCCCAGGTACCCCAGGGGGCTTTGAGCCCGCTTCCCCTTCTCTTGGACGCAGAAGCGAAGAAGAGGCACCAGGAGTGTTGCTCTTGGCCCACAGCTTCTCCAAGATGAGCCTGGAGGGGGGAGGCTGCACCGGGTCCCCCCCGATGCCCCTATTCCCCTGGGTGTCAGCCCTGGGGGCCCCCTTCCTCTTTGGGTCTTCAGGGCTGCCACCTTTAGTGCTGGGGGGAACTGGGAGGGGGGGCTTGCATGGAGTGGGTGGAGGGATCCAACCGCATCCTTTTCTCTGGGAGCCGAGGACCTTCAGCTGCACCTGGAGAGGAGGCCGGGCTGGGGAACATCTCAGGTGCAGGGGGAGGGGCCTTGACTTTCCTTTGGGTGGGGGGAAACCCAAGGGGGGGGGCTTTCAGGTTCGGGTTTCCCCAGATGGGCCCATCAAGGCGACATCTCTAATAAAGGGGCCCCCGTGAGGGAATGCCGGCCTCGGAGTCTTCCTGGGTTGGGGGTCTTACTTGGGACCCTGAGACGGGGCACAATGGAGACCCACCAGCCTCCCCGTCATCTTGGCTCGGGGGACAGACAGGGTGGGGACGACACCCCCGGGACCGACTGGCCCGCAGAGCAGCCCTCGCCTGCCAGTGGCCCTCATGGGGAGGCTGCTCACGGGCCAAGGACATCGGGGGGGGGCTGGGGGGCTGGTGTGTGGGGGCTGCGCTGCAGACCAGACAGGTGCTTCTGGTTCCAGGCTGAGAAACAGGGCGCGGGAGCTGCTCCTCCAGGTTGGACCTGGGACAGGCTGCACTGGGGATCCCCAGCGGTCTGGAAGCCAGATCCAGAGGGGGCTGAGGGGGATCCCCCCCAGCCCCAAGCAGTGCTCTCCGGAAGCTTCCTTTGGTCCCACTGCTTTGGTTTCCCATTTCCCGGCCTCTAACGGAGATCCAGGGACAGACCTGGGGGGGGGGGGCTTCCAATCCTCTGACGTCTAGCAGGCCAGGGGCGAGAAGGGCCACTTCTTGGGCACTCTTTACACCCACCCCCCGTCTGCTGGTCTTTCAGGGCTGGGAGCTGCCCTCCCTCCGAGCAGAGATCCAGGGCAACCCCTTCCAGGCAGGAGGGTTTCATGGGGCGGGGGGGGGCAGGTCTCTCTTTCCCCTGAGCAGGTTAAGGCAGGTAACGCAACTCCCCGCCTCTCCTTCTCAATTGGGGTGACAGCCCCACCCCACCCCATCCTCAAACTAGCAAAAGGAGTGAATATCACCAAAATCTTTGTGCCAACAGCTGTGGGATGCTGTGGGCCTCACGGGGAGGTGCCTGCAGAGTCTTTGGATACAAGGTGGGCGATAGATAGATGGATGGATGGATGGATGGATGGATGGAT